CCCTATTCAAGTCCAAATTAATGGTGTTTAATTTTCAAATGAATTTTAGTTCTGCAGTTTCTCGTTGAAGTCTGTTTTTGAAGTTTTTTTTGTTCAAGTATGGCTACTTTTAAATCTGTTATAGAATATCCAGGGAGATTGAAGTATTCTCCTACTGGCTTTTGTATGTTACCATTCCTGATGTCCGATTTGTGTCCATTTATTCTTTTACGTGGAGACTGTCCGGTTTAGCCAATGTACATGGCAGAGGGGCATTGCTGGCACATGATGACATATATCCCATTAATGGATGTGCAGGTGAATGAGTCCCTGATGGTGTTGCTGATGTGGTTGAGTCCTCAGATGGTGTCGCTAGAGTAGATATGGGGACAGAGTAGGCAACAAAGTCTGTTACAGGGATTGGTTCCTGAGTTAGTGTTTCTGTGGTGTTTCCAAATTTAACACCATTAATTTGGGCTTGAATAGTCACTGGGAGTGGCTGGCTCACTACAAAAGCAACTTTCCCTCTCCTGGCATTGACATCTCCTCATCAATTATTGGGAGTGGACTACATCCACCCTGATTGAATTGGCCCTGTAAACACTGGTAGGGTAACTCCCTTCTCTTCATGTGTCAGTATAATAATGCCTACATCTGTAATTTTCACTCCATGCATCTGAAGAAGTGGGTTTTTACCCATGAAAACTTATGCCCAAATAAATCTGTTAGTTTTTAAGGTGCCATTGGAGTCCTCGTTGTTTTTGTGGATACAGACTAACACGGCTACCCCTCTGATACTATAGTTACCTTTGCATTTTCCTCTTGGTGTGTGTCTGTGTACAAAGCAATCCAGAAATAGGGTAATATTAGGCATATTCACATAACTGACATGGTGTTTGGGAAAGTAAACAAACATGTGACTGCGATGCACCACAGGAAGATCAACAGAGGGTCCTGTGGCACCTTTAAGACTAACAGAAGTATTGGGAGCATAAGCTTTCGTGGGTAAGAACCTCACTTCTTCAGATGCAAGAAGTGAGGTTTTTACCCACGAAAGCTTATGCTCCCAATACTTCTGTTAGTCTTAAAGGTGCCACAGGACCCTCTGTTGCTTTTTACAGATTCAGACTAACACGGCTACCCCTCTGATACTTGACACAGGAAGATCATAACTCGAGGGCTGTCATGCTAAAAAGCATCTCCTTACAATGACTTTTTTCCAAACTAGTTTCATTGTTGTCTATGGGGTTAGCACAATCAACAAATTCTCAAACCTAAAAGACCAAATAATCTTCATGTCTTCTAAAGATCTCTCTTTCTAGTTTTATTAACACAGACAATGGGTCCATACCATGTGTGCGTGTTGTTTGAGCCCTTTTGTGCAAGTTGCTTTTAAGGAGGACTGAAAGCTGAAACATATTCTAGCAAAAGCTTGCAAAATGTCCCATTTTAGTCTCTCAGTAAAGACATATAAAATTTTTACCACATTGCAGAAAAAGAAAATCTAGCTATGTGCAATTTAAATTTAGTACTCTTCTTTTTTACATAGTGAAAGTCTGGCAGAGCAGCAAAATCCACAAATGCGTAGACAGTGACACAAAATAAGAAAAGAAAGAGGTCTCTAATTTTTAGACAGTGCATATAATACCACAATAAAATTATCTTAATTAGGACATCCAATAGTAACTGTCTCCATTAAGAAGTGGTGTCTTTTGTTTTTTAAACAGCCAGACACTTAAATTGAAACAAAATACTGAATGAAATTACACAAATAGAAATATTTTTACTACATTTCATCGTTGTTTATTTGGTAATGGTTAGTACGTCACAAGTGGTTACACACCACTTACCCTCTTGGCACTGCCCAAATGCCACTAAGGGGCTTTTTTGCAAATACTGGCCCAATTAAACTGCAGTTATTTCTACTCATGCAGTTATGCTAATTTGGTTTCCTGGGGGATGTCCATAGGAACACAAGAATTGCTATACTGGATCAGACACATGCTCCATCTAGTTCACTATTCTGTCTCCGGCAGTGACTGGTACCAGATGCTTCAGAGTAAGATATAAGAACCCCACAGTAGGAAGAAGTCCCATCTAAGGGGCTATCTTGATTAAGATTATACTGCAATGTACACCTTTATAGCAGTGTCAATCTGAGCATCTCAAAGTGTTTTTCAATATTGTTTAAGCCTTTTATTGCTCCTGTGAGGTAGGTATGGAATCTCCATCACTGGAGGTTTTTAAGAACAGGATGGATAAACATCTGTCAGGGATGGTCTAGTTTTACTTAATCCTGCCTCAAAGCAGGGGCTGGAATTGATGACCTTTTGAGGTCTTGTCTAGCACCTACATTTCTATGATTCTAAGAGGAATATCTTCACCCACAAATAAGTTGCAGCCACCTTGAGGATGGAGCGCAGCAGATGTTTAACAGCACATGGTATCACTTGAGGGCATGTCCACTCAAAACTGAAAGGGGAATGTGGGCAGGCAGAATGGAACATTTCTATGATTCTCAGAGTGCTGGTTACTGAATCACCAGCATCACTTCCTGCAGCAACCAGGTCTCCTTTGAAGGACTCTTAACCACATATTGATCAGGTTCAACCTTGCATCATTTAGGAGATCTGATGGAATCACAGCATGTGTGTGGCTCCTTTATAACAGTACTGTTTCTCTTTAGTGTAGCCACTGGACAATATTTTGTATGCTGGTAGTGAAAGTCAAGCAGGTATAATTCATATAACCCTCCGATTGATTAGGGTTTGAAAAAGATGTTCATACTTTCCCCCCGCAAAGGGCTTGTTTCTCAGGGGCTGCAGGAAGATGCTTGTGGCTCACCAAGTCAGAGTTGCCCACCCTTCCACCATGTCCCATCCCCATCCCCGACATGCTGTCTCTCCCTTTACACCAGGGATAAGGATCATTCAGGAGGTAGGAGAGCCACCACTGCCAGATTTCTGTCACTTTAAGAGTATTTTGTGCTGCTTATGTAGTGTAAAATGGTCTTACTGGACTGGAGAATCTGCCTTGTAATGTTCACAGAAGAAAGAACCTTAACCTATGACACTTGATTTGAAGATTCCTAATAATGGCAAACTTGGGAAATACAAAGAAATGCAAATTGAAGTCTGTGCAAATATAATCTCTAGTAGTACTGGATGAAGAAAAAAGACATGCACCTCCCCATTTCCAGCAATGCTGCTTTAAATAACTATAGAGTTGGGGGAAATATCAGCCCAAATATTTTGCTAATCCAATGATTTTTTTTACCAGAGTGAGCACTTCAGGTCTGAGCCCCTTGTGTAGTGTGGAACAATGGGAGGAGATGCAGAGCTGCTGCTACCAGATAATTTAGCAGTGATGTCCAAGCCCTTTAGTGCAAGAAAATGCTTTACATCCATTTGTTCTAATGATGCAAGGTGGATGAATGGAATTGTGCCCTTTGTTGCTTTCATAAGAAATGATGTACTGCCAATATTTTAAACATAGGGCTTCTACAGATGTCCCCTCCTCCAGCCATACTAAATGCTGTAACACCAGGCTGCGGCGTTTGCAGAGAGAATGGGTGAAGGATTTTATTCAAAACTATCTATTTGATTTGTAGCCATAACCAAGGAAGGAGGACTGCTGTTTAGCTTGAAAAGTAAAGGAAGAGGTGGGAAATTCGGGAGAATGCCCTCCCCTTGGGAATTATTATTTTTTAAAATACACAGTGATGATTCTGAAGGCAGTATTTGTATGTGACCTAAGAATGTGATTTTTGCAGGAGTGACTTAATAGTGTCTAGGGGATGGGTACATTTAATCAGAAACAGAGAAATTTCTCTTATCCTCCCTTCAATTATTTAGTGAAATTTTAACAAGGCGTTCCCAAGTGTCCCCTCTCTAGCACTACCCTGGATACAAGATGTACTATGCATGTCCTTGATCCATCCCATTTCTGTGAACTTGCATCAGGTCCTTCTCAGATGGCCTGGACTGCTTTCAAAAATACTGTGTGTATATGTTATTATTTCCTGCTGCCCTCATTTTTATTCACTCATTTTCTCAGTTCACTTCCCCATTTTATCTCTTCCCTGTGGTCCTTAACGTTTTCTTAAGTCTCTAGATATTATCCTCCCCCCTCCACCATAGGTTTATTACTGTCCCAGATCAGGTATGAGTGTCCTGCAGCTATCTAAGACACCGGCTCTCAACTTGAGGGCTGCACACTGGTGTTTGGTGTGTGTGATAGTGATGGGGGTGGAGGGGGGAAAAGCTGACCAACTTTATGGCTGGATGAAAGGGGGTTCTGAATCCATGGTAGGGGGAACCTGTAACGTTTTTCTGTTGTAACATGATTACAATATGGAAATTAACTTAGCAAACTGCCCTACCAGGCGCTGGCGCAGCTGTCCCTTTGATCTGAAGCCTCTGGGCAGAGCAGGGAGCAGTGTTTACTACAGGTATTGCGGGCGGAGGGCAGATGCAGTGACATGTTCTCTAGCTTCACCTGCTGCCGCTGCCCCGGCATTTTAGCAGCTAGAAGCAGTGCTCGCCATCGGTCCTGTGGTGTAGGAGCCCCACTGGCAGAGTGCAAGGGTAAGGGGAGGAGGCGAGAGACAAGGGACAGCCCGAGACTGGGGGAAGGGGGTAATGAAATAACAGCGGGGAGGAGCAAGGCTGGAACGCGGCCTGAATTACACACAACAACCAAACTCTAATAGATTTCCTCGTCTCGCTCTCCCCTCCCTCCCCCCGCAACTTTGCAGTGTCAGTTTGGAGCGCACATGTCTCGTCCCGCCCCAGAGGTCCCAGCCGCCTCCCCATGGCAGCGAGGGTCAGTAGAGGGCAGCAGGCAGCTGCCTTACCAGTGCACAGGGCAGGCAAGGTGGGAATTTCCGAGCTCGCAGGTGAAACGCTGCGCTTGAACCTTCCTCCGCCTCCCCGGCCCGCCCAGACCGGCCGCTGCCCCCTTGTCCCCCCCTGGCCGGAGGTGGAGCGGGGGCAGTCCCGGCGCAGGCGCCCTCCCCGCTCTGAGCGTGTGCGCGCGTCCTGCCGGAGCGGGGAGCAGGGGGGAGCCCGGCAGCCCCGCGGGGCGAGCACCTCGGCACCTCAGCGCAGAGTGGCGGCGCAGACTCGGCGGGGAGCCGGGCGGGAGCCGGGGCTAGCAGCGCCAGTGCACGGGCGGCCGCCGCGGGACCTTTCCCCCAGCCGCCGCCACTACAGGTTGCATCGCGCTCCGCCTCAGCAGCAGCAGCTCCCCCTGGCCGCCCCGCGGCGCGGCTCCCGCTGCAGGAGGGGCTGCATCTCCCCCGCCCCCTTCTCTCTGCCGGGCGGCGCTGCAGAGGGCGGAGCTGGGAGCCGGGGAGGGCTGGCCCCGGTGCCTGGCTCCCGGCGGGCGGCGCTGCTGGGTTGCTCTGGGAGGCTCCCCGGGGCTGGGCGCGGAGCTGCGGGCTCGGGGGTGTGAGCGGCCGGGTAGGGCGCCCCCAGGATGCTGCGGTTCCTGCGCAGGACCTTTGGCCGGCGGTCGATGCAGCGCTACGGGCGAGGAGCTGGACGTGGAGCCGGGCGAGGAGGCGCCTTTGGGGTGGGGGACGAGCGGGACGGGGGGCTGAGAGGAGCCGCCGCCGCAGAGGGGTTCCCCTCTTCCCCGCACCCCGGAGGTGCTGGGCACAGCGCCGGAGCCGCCGTCCACATCCCGGCGGCCGGAGACAGCAAAGCGGCGCTGCACTGCCGGGTCCTCCTGCTGGACGGGACCGACGTCAACGTGGAGCTGCCGGTGAGTACCACGCTGTAGCCCCCCCGTACAGCCCCCCTAGTACCGCGCTGCAGCCCCCTGTGAGTACCACACACTTGTCTGCACGCGCATTCCTCCCTCCCCAATAGCATGCACCGTGTGGAGCCCCTTGACACGCCCCTGCCCCCCAGCGTGCGTTATATGCACCTGCCCTCCAGGTGACTAGACTGGCGGCCCCTGTTTGCCCCTCTCCTTTCCCCGGGGGCTCCCCCTTCCACTCGGTACAAACCACCCGCATCTGCTTCTCCCTCCCCGGCAGTGCGTATGGAGGAAACACCCACCTGTTCCCCTCCCCCCGTGAGCTGCACCTGCTCCTCACCCCCGGGACTGCCACGATCCCTGGGCTAGGGCACTCGGGGTGTGTGTGTGCCCGGTGGGGGCGTGCTGCATAGGCAGGGGGAGCCGCCATCTCCTCCCTCTCTCCCCCGCGCATCTGAGCTGCTACATTGTAATGGCTTCGTGCTCATGTTAATGCCGTTTGTGTGCCCCCCCCCAAGTGATGGGGGGGGGGGATCCGCGGTGCAAGGGGCCTGGGGATGTGTGGGGCGCTGTAGCTGCCCCCTTGGGATTTCTGCCTTTCCTGTTTCCTCCCGCCTCTGTTCAGTAAGAGGCGGTCACTGCGCCCACAGTCCGCACCTGTAGCTCTGCAGGGAAAAGCAAAGAGCCGGGCTTGTCTCTGGGGTCACGCCGCTGGTTCAGGCCCCTTTGGCCGGGGGGGTGGCGTGTTGTGTTTGGGGGGCGGGGGTCGCATCTAGTGTTCGCCGTGCGGCGCTATTCGGGGAGGGAGCGAGTAACCTCCCCCCCCCCCCCAACTTCTTTACGGTTCCTGGCAGGCGATAAGTCTAAAGTGCAGGAACGGCTCCGTATTAGGCCTGGTAATGTCACACACCCAGGTGCACGCTGACATTTCCGACTGAAGTTGCAGGATTGCTGTGTCAGACTGTGCCAACGTTGTACCTTATGGCTGAGGCATAATTCTCTCCTTGTCCCGCACGGGTATCTCTCTTGCGGGGGGCGGGGTCTCTCTGCGGTGAATACACAAGGATAGTAGCGGCGTAGGTAACTACAAGGGTCCTCGGGTTCTTGTACAGACACGTCTCTCTTCTCTGAGCTTTACCCGGCTGCGCGCGGCATTCTCTGCACCTCTCTGAAACATGCTGCTGAGAGATCCACTGGGATCTGCTGCTGCCTTGACTTTAACAAAATTCAGCTGAAAATTGAATTCTTGACAGCCCATAGTTGGGTTGGTTTGAGCTGCTACAGCTCACCCAGCTCTGGGAGTTAAGTACTATGGTATTAGATTTGCATTTCTTATAAATTATAATACATTTTGCAAGTCCTCTTTTTTTGGTTGTTTTTGGACTGTCCCTTTTTTTTAATTACAAACTTCGAAGCTTGTTCCTGAGTTGTTCTTATGCCATCAGTGAGGTTTATTTCAATTTAACTATATTTGTACATGGTATGGCTTCAGGGGTCGTTTTTAAATTACAGTAATATTAAAACTATGTAATGGCTTGCAAGTGTAAGACTAAAGATTTAAGAGTTCCACATAAATTTCTGGGAGACCTGTAAGAAGTACATATTCCAGAGATCCAGATATTCTCCTTTCTCCCACCCACTTTGTGCAATTGATGTTCAGAGTTTGCAATTCTTTTATTGAGTAGTCAGTTGTAGTACCAAAATTAGAAGAAATATCCCCTTTGCAATGTATTTGGCGCTCTGTGAACTAGGGTAGGAAACTATATTAATATAACTTCAACAGTATAATTAATTACAAGATGTGTAATTTCGACAGTATGAAAAAAGAACTGGTTCCAGAATATTTATTTTCATTGTAAGCTTTTGACTGTTTGTTCTGTGTGCACCCACTTATGCTGCGTGCACACTTAACCAACAGAATTTGGCACCATGATGGTCTCTGCTCAAGAGAAACCCAAGAGTTAGAATAGCAGTGTTGCGGGTCAGGTTTGGGGTGTGTAAGTAGAGATATCTGGGGAAGCTTGCAGAGCATCTACCTCGCTTAAGACAATGTTAGTAATTCCTCTCTCCCTTTCAAACTATAATCATTTTTCAAGATAGTGGAAATCTTGGTATCCCTTAGAGGAAAGAGCGAATAATGTTCTGGGTCTGAATCACAATTTATTATAGTGCTAATTTTACTTCTGAGCAAAAAAATGTTTTCTAAGGAAGAATTTTAATAAGAAATCGGGTAAAATCAATATATTAAGCAATATACTTACAAAAGTTTATGTAGTTAAGATCAATAAATATTTAGTACAATGCTATACTCTATTTGAACTAACATATCATATATTGGCTGCTTATTGTTAAAGATCATGTTTATTCAGATAACATATAATGTTAAAACATGACTGGACATGAAACCAGATCAGTTGCATCTAATCAGTAATTCTTCTATGTCTTCTGAGTAAAATGAAATGATGGCACTCTCCCTACTTCTCTACTGTTGAAAATAAAAGGAAATCTTATTCTCTCAATTTTAAACATTTGTGTGGTCCAATAAAGAGTGAAAAGCACACAGGCTAATATTGTAATGATCAAACCAAGTAAACATAACTAACCCATTGTTTACAAACAAAGTATGTCATGGCTATTGTGTGTTTGTCCTCAGATCTATGGGACTGTTGACAAGACTCTCCCTTTTGCTCAACAGGTTGTGGAGGAGGACTCTATGGGAGCTCACAATGACTGTTAGCATCTTACCTAACTCAGCAGGCAGAAGATTATTTTAGCTGGTATCTTTACCTCTTCCACATTTTATTTCTCTTTTTCATAGAACACCCAAATTTATGATTAAAAAAATTATGAAAGAGGCATTGCTCCAGTCCATGCATATTGGTAACAGGTACTGCACTGCAGTTTTCTCAGTCTTACATGTACTGTGCCCCAGTCCTGCAAACACACTGCTCACATGTGCATGTGCTTAACTTTATACAAGTATCTACAGGACTGGGGCCTGAAATGGCATAGTGGATTAAAGGGTTTTTTGGGGGGAACATTTACAACATTTAAAAAGACTGATTGGTTTCCTTGTTTGTCTGATGGCAGGAAATATGTATTGTAGGGGAAAATATAAAATTGTAATTTTATTAGCCTGCCATGTTAACCTTTAATTCCTAAAATTCCTCCCTTAGTACAAGTTAGATTCCCTTAAACATACACCTTGTCAGACTAGTTTCAGTGATGCTTTAAGTTTTCTATTGTGCTGCCCAGCTGTCTAAAATAGACAATTGTAGGTGTTTGGTAAGGTTGACTTCAGTAATTTCTGAGGTAAACATTAAGATTTTGGCATAACACTTAAATTGAGAATCTTATTGCCTACTCTCTTGTCCAAGTCCTGCTAACTTTTCACTTTCTATAACCAACACCTCTATGGTTTCCACTTGTTCTTTCCTCACTTTTTTTCTTTCAGTCTGTACAAAATATTGTCACCAAAGCCATCATTCTTTCTTGTGTACCTGATCATATCTTTCTCTTCTTATCCATTTCTGCCTTGAACATCTGCCCTCTGTTCTCATTTTCTTCTGTGAACAACCTAAGGTGCTGCTACTTTCAAATTATTTCATAACTTGGCCTATCTCTCTCTCTCCCACTCTTTCATGTATATATCCTCTTCCACTCTCTTTAACCTGCTCAAGCTTTCCTCATTAGTGCTCTCTTTGCTTTCTCCTGGACTTTGCACTACCTTCAGCTAAACAAAGTTAAAAAAAATATTGTTTTGAGCATTTCAGCCAATTCCTTTATTAAACTTTTTATGTAACATTTTGAGGATTACTTACTGATAGATGCTTTCCCTTTGCTTTTAAATCTTTGAGACAAAATGTGTACCTTGAAAGCATTCTTTCTAAACAGAATAATGCACTAGCTAGCTTCTTAAACCCACAACTCCTCAGGGCCCCATATTGAATCTTAGAGATGCTGTTAAGCTTAGATATGTTTACCAGATCTGTTGCTGTGGGGTGATTGCCCACGGGATGGAGAGTGTAAAATAGTGTCATTAGTTCCTGTTGACCAGATATCATATGTGCACATCTGAAATCTAGAATGTTTTATATGAATTGATGTGGGAGAAGGGAAGGAGGGACCTGTATCAGAACAGCCTTTTCCTGCTCTTGCTGTATATTATTAAGCTTCAAGAACATATTTAGCATTTTTTGTGTTGTCATATTGATACAGGAGGCTATTATTTGTTTGGTCTTTGCCCTTGCAACTCAGCTGTTGGTGGGGGTAGAAGGCTGTTTGCTCACTGCTATCAAAATAATAATAATTTCTTCCTCTAAGAGGCTTGCTTCAGAATTCTCATGACTTAACAAAAGAAAAGCAGCTGCAGATGATGCCATACCTTTTATATACGGGGGGGATAGCTCAGTGGTTTGAGCATTGGCCTGCTAAACCCAGGGTTGTGAGTTGAATCCTTGAGGGGGTCACTTAGGGATCTGGGGCAAAATCAGTACTTGGTTCTGCTAGTGAAGGCAGGGGGCTGGACTCGATGACCTTTCAGTCCTTTCAGTTCTATGAGATAGGTATAGAATAGAAAAACAAAATATGTTGGTGTTGCACTGGTAGTCTGATCAACAAGTGGAAATGAAGACTTTTAAGGCCTGGCTTTTAAAGCTGAGTACCCATAGCTTATGTTAATTTTAGTCAAAGTTGTGGATGCTCTGAACTTCTGAAAATCAGACCTACATTTTTAATTTGGTGCATTTTCATCATAAAGCTTTTTGTGAGATGGCTACTTCTGTGCTATAAAGCTCTAGCTGTCAGTTCAGGGTAGTCCGTCATAAACATTCCTTCACTAACAATCCCCTTGCTATAATAAAGAAATCTCTTGGATGCCAAGAATATAATTACAGAGAAGGTGTGTGGTGTGTTATAAAATATTATATTTAGTGATCAAATAAATGGAAAAGACAAATATAATACTTTAAATCAATGAAATGTTTTCAAGTGGGTAGCTTTTG